CCTCCAGATATCTCCGTTTCTCGGCGGATCTCTATCACCGATATACGAAGGTAAATCTGGAAGAACCTTAGGTATGGCACTTCGACACAACACCGGCTGTTTAAATTGCCATCATTGTCGTTAAACTTTTCAACATAACTCAAGTCGCACACTGGGAAACGTTCAATACAAATCACTGGCCTTTACGATGGCGTCCAGTCTGAACGTGGAATTCCTCGAATCCGCTCTTTGGGAAAAACAAAGCATCGGGTATATCCTTCGATTTTATAGTACTATCGAAATAGTTTATGCAATTAGTTTATAATGTTAAGCTTTATTGCAAGAGTACACGTTTTGAAAACGCGCGACTTTAGAAGCGAGTTTTCAAATTTGTACGAATGTAAAAAAGAAACATTATAAACGAGTTGCATACTATATTTTTTGGTATAACAGCATTATACATTTACAAAAGAAACTTAACTTTGGGAAACAACTTCTCTGTAACGACTCTGGTATTTGATATCGTGCGAGTAAACGGTGGTCGGCTGTTCCGATTAGCTCTACCTCCCCCGGATTCTCTCGCTACGATTGGCTAAATGTGTGATGACGCGATCATTCGTGACATAAAATGTAATACGTCATCATTTTTGCCGCAAAATGCCAGATTAAAAACGATTTCTTGCAACAGAAAAGGTTCTTTTATTATGCTGGAATACAAAAAATACTATAACAGCCAGGCACGACGCACCTATCTGGCATTTTGCACTCGCGAAAACACTTTAAAAGTGCAATTTATTGAAACTGTTTTATGATATGTTATGTGATATACGCACACACAGCAGAAGTTCGTCCATTCCCTTAGGGCTCAGAAACAACTGTCCGGACGTGGTGCGGTGTTACCGCGCTTCTATGAACACGACCTTCCTTGAAAGGGCAATGTCTCAAGTCATTCATGTGCTTCAGATTTGTTGTGGGCGCAATTGATTTAGGGAGGTTGCTGACTGAGGTCTATTAGAGGTCGGAGAAGTTTCCAAGGGGAGGTTTCACAGGGTTAGGAAGTTTAAGGTTAAGCTTCTTCAAGGTGTGAAAGCGGATACCAAGCGGATTAGGTAACGTTGGTTTCAGTATGTAAGATGTTCTGTGGCCTGGGTTCAAGAGAGCTCGCCGAGATGAAAGCTCAGCTCTGACAATTTTGCACCTTACGAACCGATCAAAATCTCCCGTCTTCATCCAAGAGACGGTTCTCCAACTTCAGCCAAGACACATTCGACGGGAACGGGCCATGGACAGCGCGTGATCTTTCTTTTCTCTTTCTTGTCCTATCCTCACCCCTAACACACACTTCCATGCATCACATGCCGGGAGATCAGTCGGCAGCTTAGAGGTTGTCCCAGTTGGGGCGGTGCCCTGCTGGCGGGAGATACCTTGGCTTGATTAATCGCGTCAACGGTAAAAAAGGAGTCCCGTATTTATAGTGCATGTCCATTGGGAGGCGGTGGCGTTCTTCCTCCGATGGATGGTGAGATCCTACCCGTCGGCTAGCGGAGTAGCCCCCAACCATATATCTGGGACCAGTGGGAGACCCCCAACCGAGACAAGCTCCAAGTTCCCAACCGGTCTCCCGGCATGAGTTGTAGTGTAGTTCATGTAAGTGTAAGGAAGAGGTGAAGATAGGACATGCAAGAAGAAAATATCGCACGCGGTCCGTGGCCCGTTTGTTAGGGTACTCTTCCGTCATTCACCTGGAATTGATGGGAGAAAACATGGCAAACTACCGATCAAAGCAGCCTTGAATTTGACCTAGCTATCTAGTTGGTGGCGGAAACCCTGCCACCATCGAGATACGTGGTGGGGGAAAACTCCGCAAGTGGACGTGGGATCTCGCCATCCAGCGGAGGAAAATCACTGCCACATTCCGCGAAAAAACAGGCACTAGACTTATGGGACTAATGATCTTAGTAGTTGACGCGCTGGAAATACTAATAAATCAATACAAACGAATGGTCATTCCGATAATTGCAGCCCTAGTTGGCAAAACAAACAGCAAATGGATCGAGTGACAGGTGACATGCTTGCCACTACCACGGAAGGGAACATGGATCCAATACCAGGACTCCCAATTGGGGAACCTCCCGTGTGCCATCTGATTATAAAAAAATCGACTGATGAAGCTTCCGCATATCGACGCTTTCAAACCATAATATCAGGAACAGTTCCTTCAAATCTGGCTCTTGGGGAAATTGGTACAGGAAGTCTCGCTGGTTGATAAGAGCTACCAGGATGTGTCATTTGGATTCCAAAACCCGAATGTCGAGGGAAAATTGGGAAAATGTTAACGCTTAATATGTTAATGGATTATAGTATCTATGTTGGTTGAACATCAAGAATTCTTGGATTGAAGACCTATGCCATTATTGTATCAATTGCATTTCGGTTCTACTATACGACTATTTCTTGTTTTACCGACTGGAAAGGGCCCAGCGATATACGATTGCAGTGAAATAATCCAGACCCTCTTGAGTTCTCTCGTCTACAAAATTATTAACTTGGGGAGTGGAAATATCTCACCAGGAGATACATCTGAACGGCAAAGGAAAATTATTACAAATTATTCTTTTAGAACCTATTAATTGGTCGGTCAAAAGTAATGAGCTTCTCGACAATGAGATGTCTCAATACAAGTTCAAAAATTCATTGATGCGCCAATGCAAATACCATATTTTCTCAGGCTTGACCAGACACTACAAAGGTGACATTAACACGCGATAGGGGCAGCAGGCAAGCATACACATATGTAAAGCGAGAAGGGTAAGTCAGATGTAAGAAACTTGCCAATTTGTTAAGAATGAATCTGAGCAAGATATGAAAAAATGAAATTTAACTTAGAAGAAAACATTTTGTGAATAAAATGTGTGATGTTTATCTCGTACCTACGTGTTGGACAGGAGTCATCCGTGATGATTTTTAAGAGCATTTGGTTTGTAATGGACTGCAGACCTGCCGTAAAGGCGATCAATACGGACAAGAGTGGGATAATAATCGCTTCCATAAAGATCGTCTGATACGGACCGCTGAAGACTGGTTGCATGCGAAGGATTACGTTGGCTAAATCAGTAGAGTTCGAGGCTACAGAGAAATGCGTCAGTTCGCCTGTATTAAGGACAGTGAGGTTGATATTACAGATTCCATTAATGCTGCCCCTCTTGAGGTACGGAAGGAATCCACAAGTCCCAAGGGCATTCACGTCACCAACAATGAAGGATTTGGGAGATGTGCACTCTCTCTTTCAATCACACACACGATGAAGATAGCTTTGTACAGTAATTTATGTAGATAACAGCAACCTGGAATCCAAAGTGGTAACTACGCCATGAGCGCATAGATATTCGTATCAATATTGTACTCAGTGAAATAGCGAGAAGGTTAAGGGAGGGGTGGATGGCCATTTGTTTCTTGCTAGCTAGAGGGGAATAGCAAGAGCGACAGTTTAAAGTCATCCCGATGATAAGTTTCAGGAGAGAGGTAAAAGAGAGAGTAGTCTTGTACTATTTCATTATATTTTCTTCTTCTCTCGTCTCTCACACAGTTCTGTCAGGAATCAGCCCTTACCGAAGATCTTCGCACTCGATTCTTTCTGGACTCTGCTAGAGGACCCTAGGTATTCTCTCAAAGTAACCTGTAGAAATTCGACCATTGTTAACACAATGCATCGGAGACGTGTATTTTTCTTAGTGCATCTGATCACTCTTCCCGTTCACGCCATGCAATGCTGAAGGGTATGATCGAAACTCTGGAATTTGAAAATCGGAGACGGTCGAGGCACACTGTATGGTTATAGTATCCCTAAGAATTCCTTTAGGATAAGAACGGGAAGATTTTCTTTTTCGATCTTATATACGACCTTGCGTTTGAAAAAAGGTTATTAGATTCTCCTCATATTCGGATGTAAAGGGCAAAGGTTGAGGAAGGGATGATTTGGACTTCCATCTGAATACCACCAAGCTCATCGGTACCTTGCAATTTCATAATTTTCCCGACATTGCGTTCACGAGAATTATACCATTTCTTTGTCGCACCACTGCTTGGAACATCGCCGCTTTACACAACGTCCATATCTTCCGCGGGATTGCATTCCAAGCCCCTGCCTCACCCACACCGACTAGGAATGGAAGGCGATACACGCCACCAGGCTCCAAGTGGGATTCTACGCAGCGACACTACGAACCGACACGGCTAAGTCCGCCTTGGCCACGTCGGCCACCCAAATAGGCCGGATGAACGGTGCGGTTTACAATTACAAAATAGTTGAATTTGTTTACTGTCATGAGGAAAGTTCAACTAGTTCTCTACGTAAATGAAGAGAGAACATTCCAGTAAAAAGAACGATACTTCTTTATTATACAGGTGTCCTGAGAGGAATCGTCGAAACTTCGAAAATAAGCTCTTAAGACAATTTTAAGCATATTTAGTTTAATGAACTATGCGGATATTCTGAATGGCAGGATTTTCGACACTAACTACATAGCTAGGTCGAATTTAGCCTTTGTCTGTAGGAGAATTCTAGCGGTGGGTTGCTATGATCAGTATTTTCCGTGGTTTCGCCGAACATCACACGAATGTCGGAGCAGTACCCTAAAGAACGAGCCACGGACTGCGCAATCTTTCCTTCATCTTCCTTGTCCTATAGCACCCTTTTCACATACATGCACTACACTATTGTGGCTACTACATGTTGTGACCTTCCTCAGGGCGTAGTGCTGACACAACAGTACGCTCTGACGAAGGCCACATGTTGGCCGAAACATCAGTCACCGCGGCTCATCCCGGGTAGCCTAGATATAATACAAACTCCGGCAAAGCCTACGAAATAACTTAACATGAAAATACTGGGAAATGGAGAATTTTACATTTGTAAAATCAATATACTGGCAGCACTTAACACAGAACCAGTACGTTTTCAATCTATACTGTCTGACATCAATGCAATAGTGTGTTGAATTATAATACGAGAAAAGGCTTACCGTAACGTTCTTGTAGTATAGTAGGATGCGCATTTCTCCGATATGAACTGTATTTTCAAACCAACTTCTTTAAGAACCATTTCATCATCAACGCCACACCGAGTAGCCAAAGGCCAGTACTGATGACATTTTTCCTGAAAAATGTAACACACATTATGGATACGCATATTTTCCACGATACTTTCATGCACTAACAGTCAATATTTTTCATTGGACAGATTGTAAAGAAAATCTTGGTGCCAACCATTCGTATCTTGACACCATTGGGCAGCGAAATTACGTGATTCACAAAACGAATTACGTAATGTTTATTATGAGCGAAGAAAACATTGTTTTTGAACCAGGTAAACGATTAATTCACAAGTCAAGCGTAACTGTCAAATTCTCGTCAACTTTTACGGTCATTTGCACCCATGTAAAATTATTTCAATAAAACATTTTGTGAACTGGGCAAAGTAGGTCAAAGACAGACACACAATATGCAAAGCAACACAAGCATAAAAAAACGTGTGTGACGTGGGTCACATGACGGTAGTGAGGATTCAAATGCATGATATAGTCAGTGAAAAGAAGTTGATATTATCAGAAAATGATTAGTTACGGTACCAATAATGATTAATAGTACAATATACAAACTTGCGTATTTCTTTTAAAACATAGACTTTACACAAATGTAATTTTATGTTCTACCAATAGCACACGGTCTTACTGTGCATAATATAATTGCTCCAGAAGCTAGAAAATATCAATATTTTATAATATACCATATACAATAAACTGTCATTGCGTTGTAACAATTGATACTAGTACACGAGGTCTCCAATAAACTAATTATGCTGTTGATAAGGTTAAATAATCTAAATGATCATTAATAGGAGAAATAAATTGTCTGTGTTAACTATTTTAGGACATACTTTTTAGATTAAGTGTTATTGAAATTTCTTGAAAAGTAATGAATCCAGTATTATTATTAATTTTATTATTATTATTATTATTATTATTATTTAAGTGCAACTCTGTCTTTAAGAAATCGCACCAATAATTCTGAAAAGCCATTTGTAAAATTAATATTGAAATCTCCACAATTTTAGTAATCCGTTATTTTGTAACATAGGTCTATACAGTAATAGTTTTTGCAAATGATCGATCAGCTAGGGAATTACACAGCATATTTCAAGCATCTATGAATAAATTTACTTTGCATTCAGTATACAGGGATGCGCAGAGACAATTTGCCTGTTCTTACAGAAAATGTTACAGCACTTAAATACACACACGGTTGTCAAATGTCTTAAAAGCTTTTTTCTACAATAAAATCATCTATATAAAAATTGAAATAAATGTAACGTTCTCTTTAGGTTCCTGCAATCAAGGTACCCGCTCTTAAACAAGAATTACTTATGTTAAAGTTACCAGGAAGATATATTTATTTATGTCAGATAAAAACTGTGTATGACGTGTGATAGGCAGACGTTAATTTGAAGTTACATTCTTCCTACCTTTTCTCATGTAATCCGAATTTAAACCTGAAGACTGCGTAATTATTCTGAATAGCTGAGTTACATTGTTTCTAGCGCATAACATGAAATTTTCTCAGAAAAAACACGTTAACTCAGCACGGTCTTCACATGAAACTTACTGGAAAAAAGCACTCGTTTGCAAGCTTGCAAATCACATCCTTTCACGTCATCGGCAGCGTCCTGCCCACAACCCCACCCACACCTAGTTCGCTCCAATCCTCTTCGCCCCACAGAGGGGACAGTTGGCAAAAAAGGCCAAAATCAAAACATGCTTCAAAAGCGGCATTTCACATGAAAGAAAGGATAGAAGCATGTCTCCTTCATCGTTGCCCGATAAGGAAAGGAATGGGGAATCACGCCTCTCCTTTGTGTCTCGCGGCGCACTTCTTCGCACTCGCACTAAGAAGGGTGGTGTGTTTTCCGATGGAAATAGTTTTGCTCTCTCGAGCAGTAGAATCGTGTGTGTTATGGATACGATGCTTTGAGGTGCGTACTTTAAATCTGTATTAGTAAGAAACGTACTCCTTAAAGAATAATTTGGTAATTCTAAGTAGAAACTTCAAGTGTCACAACGGAATGAAATTTTTAAATCCGTTTTCATATTGTCTTTTAGTTACCTTCCGGGCAATTCCAGGCTATGATATTAACTGAATCTGATTCTGGAATTCATATAGTTTTCAAAACATTAATCAAAGTGTGCCAATGTTTGCCCCATCTTGCGTTCAGGCACTTTGCTTGTAATGATGCATGCCTAGTTTTATTAGCCTTTCTACCTACAATATTCATTTGTATATTCTTTGTTCATGATCTGATACTGAAGCTCTTTATTAACAAAGAGGGATCTATGTGATGTTATTTAATCACAGAAAAGCGGGAAAAAAGAAGAAAAATATAGAGAAAGTTTCACCAGAAAAATATACAGAGAGCAACAATGAAGTGCATCTCAGGGTTTCAATTGTATCTCACCCACCGATTTTAGAAATGGAATAGAGAAAAATTGTAAGCATTCGTTCTAGAAGTTTCACCAATGTTAATGCCTTTAAGACGAAATTCACTTCTCGAAGAGGAGTCACATGATGAAAGTTCTGATTCTGAGGTTATATAATTAAATATTTGAAGGTCAAACAATTGAAAAATCATTATTTAATTATAGTTAGTTTTTTTTTCTTCCGAAAATCCCCCAAAAGGCTTAAAACTACATTTTGCCAACTTCTCTCCTCTCTGGCCCCACAGTGTGCTTCCTTCGGGCATAACTACTTTAATTCCCTGAACATAATCCCAGTAGTACCTCACCCATTTTTCATTCGTCTACATCTGTCGCCCCCTCCTGTCTCGGGCTGTCACTGCCGGGCCACGATATTATTCGGTCACGCTCGGGGTAAAAAAAGAGATAAATAAATTGCAATTACAGTCAAATGCAGCAGAAAAATTATCCGTGTAAATAGATACAAAAGTTTCGTGTAATGCATCATAATATTCGATATCTTCAAATGAAACAACTTTTCGAGGTAGCATTACCGAACCTTGCTTACCAAAAAAAGGAACACACTACAATTTCCTAGTTTTTATACAGCAGGGTCCTACTATAGAACAAGGGAATAAAATGACCATGGAGTTTCGTGTATTTACGTAACAAAGGATACTGATTGTACCGTGTTAGAATTCAATCTATATTCAGTTGGAAATACAAACATTACAAAATCTAGAGATAAGTGAACGAAATTAGTAATAGCTCTTTTGAATCGTGTTTCATCCACAACTACATATGAGACAATAACGATCGGTGTACGTTAATACGACCATGACTCACATTCTGACAATTACTAGTAACTTTAACACTGACGCAACAAGTAATACAAGCAAGTGTAGATTATTATAGCTAAAATATATTTATTTAGACTATTTCCTAGAAGAATCATAGGACACGGTTCATAATACTGTTGATGCAAATGATAAATATAATTTAGTTTCCTCAAACCTTTTCATTTTAACACGTGTTTTCCTCTTAAAAAAATAAATTAATCATTTCACGGAAAAGTAATACTTAGATAACTCAAGGAATTAAAACATTGCATAAGAACAAACGCACTCTTTACTTCATTTCTAAGCACCACAACGTATCAACCAGTTTCCAAGTCTACTTTCGAAAACATAAAAACATTTTAAGAAAAGTAAAAGCAGATAGGAGAATACTGAAAAACCATCTAGAAAAAAATAGAGAATGTAGTTTTAGACGATGAGGGGTGAGTGATACGGTAAAAATTGCAAGTCTCTTTAACGAACACATTTTGACAATTGCGGTTGAACCCGCTAAAATACTAAAATCACAGAATTCAACATCATTAGTTTCTCCCAAAAATTATACACGATTTTTGTTTGACACGACTTCTTCCAATAAAATCATCAGAATAGTTAAGCAGCTAAAAAAAAAAAATTCATCGAGGTTGGACGGAAATGAAGATTGTTTATTAAATGAATGTCTTTATACGAAATGTGAAGTCACATTTTCATTGCTTCTGTATGTCTGAAAACTCCCTCTCTGGAATTACTACGACGATGGTCTTATTCTTGGCCATCGTCTGCTCTTGTCATTTTGACATTGTTTCCTTTCGGGTTTGCCATCCCATTGTTTCCCTGCATCTCGGGTTAATGCCATATACAATTAAGAACATCCAACTATAATATATATATATATATATATATATATATATATATATATATATATATATATATTGCCATTGTTATCTGGGATTGTCATTGTATTAACACTGGCATTTCACATGGATTTAACATTCTTATTTATTCACAAATTCTTAATCATAATTTATGCAGCAAATAAGATATCATTTAAAAGTTGGAAGTCCCTGATGTCTGCACATCTAGTGTATACAGGATGTCCGGGAAGGAAACGTCGAAACTTCGCAAATAAGCTCGTAAGACAATTTTAAGCATATTTTGTCTAATAAACTACTGGGATATTCCGAATGGTTGAGCAGCAATAATCACTCAAAAGTTCGTTTGAAAAAAATCCTTGTTAGGCAAATATTTGCATCGGAGAAGCATAGAAACACTTCAGAAATATGCAAATTGTTTATTATTTAGAAAATAAATTTCTATATTTGTTCAGAAAGAAAAAATAGCGCAGAAATAAAAAAAAGGACACAATTTACACAATTCGACTGGGTTTTTGATTTTTTTTTAATTTCTGAAGAAACATATACATTTCTTTTGTAAATAATAAACATTTTACATGCTTCTGGAGTGTTTCTATGCTTCTGCAATGCAAATTTTTGCCTAAAAAGCATTTTTTCAAAGCAACTTTGGAGAGCTTCTAGCGACTATGCCATTCGGAATATCCAAGTAGTTTATTAGACAAAATATTCTTAAAAATGTCTTCAGAACTTATTTTCAAAGTTTCGTCATTTCCTCCCCGGACATCCTGTGTGTGTGTGTGTGTGTGTGTGTACTACACGCCTTGAATTGGCGCGCAAATTCAGTGTCGGCCGATCGGCTAGTTAGGGGAGGCTTTCCTACTTCACGAAGGAGTGAGAAGGGGATGTGGGGCCACTTGAACAGTGAACGAGGTATTCCATCTTCTGACGAGCGTATGTTAT